AAATCGGTAATATTGAGCAATTTTTATTGTAACACCTTGTCCATTTTTTCCCTTTTGGTTTTGTAATGTATTATTTACAAAAAACCACATTGGCTTTTTAGTTGTCTCACTTCTACCTAAACCATTGTTTTGTATATCTGGAGTCAATCCAGAAATACCATTTTAAAGACAATGTCAATTCTGTGAGAATGAGCTGTTGTCAGCCCCTTTCCTCTTAGCTTCAGTGCCTTGAATTTGGCAAATCTTATTTTAAAATAAGAAATCTACAGAGAGATTGAGATTAACTAAAGCCACCTTCTTGGTGAGGTGAGTTCCTCTGTGCTTTGTCATTATAGGAAGCTGTTGTGGAATATATCCCATAAATCTTGTAAGGGTTTGATGTGGGAATGGAAGTGAATAGGGGTTCACATTTTGACAGAAATCTTGGACTCTTACAGAAATTCCCCTGTTTCATGTGCTGAATGCCCGAATTACTTTTGAAAATGTCAACAGCTGCAGGACAGCTGAGAGAACCTCTCCTGGAGGTGCACAGAGTGATGCAGGTAAGGGATCCCACCTTTTTTACATCCCTGTCCCTGGAATGCAAAGAGGAGAGAGAAACTGAACTGCAGGGAATTGAACAGTGGGAGCTGCAAGGTGTTCCTGCAAAAACATTCATCAAAACCTTTCCAGTTACAAACAGTGTGTTTTTAGCTTTATTTGGCTTCTGTAGGTGCTAATTTCGAGGTCGACCAGTCGGTGTTTGAGATCCCCAAATGCTACCACATCCAGGATGATGGCAGGAACATCCATGTGCAGGATGAGGATAATGAGATCATGCAGTTTGCCATCCAGCAGAGCTTGCTGGAATCTCGTGCAAATCAGGTAAGTGCTGGGGTCTGTACAGGGGCAGCTTGGGCTGTGCAGCAAAAGCTGAAGGAAACCAGTGTAGGATCAGTTTCTCTAAGACTTTAGAAGATAAAAATAATGTACTTCAAAGAAGAAATTAAAGGTGGTTTAAGGGTTTATTTTCAGTGAGTTACTCTGCAGATCTGATAACTGCTGTGGATTTGTCTCTTTGCCCATCTCTAGGAATTGGAGGAGCTTTCCAATGGAGCAATTGCATATTTCCCAGACTTCAACGTGCAGTATCAGAAGTAAGTATCTATTTTTCACATCAAACCATGCAGTGACAGAGCAAAAATACCCCCAGCAGTAGCATGAAGCAATTTGGCAATTTTTTTAAATGTATATGAACAAATGCACAAAACTCAAGGTTACTTCTTGTGCTTCTTCCAACTTTTCCAAGAAACAAGAACTTCAAACTGGGCCTCCCTGGTTGATGTTGTGTAGTTCTTTCCAGCTGTGAGGCTGGTCTGTGCACACAACAGATTCTTTACCCAACATACAAACCCAGTCCTTCTCTTCTGCTCTTAAAAACTCTGAATTTGGTCCCTCTGCATTGAGTGTTTGGTTATTAGACACTGCACACTTCAAGACATCTTTCTATCTTTTCAAAATCCTTATGTAATCCTTAAAAACATAGATTTAATGGACACTTTAAAATAGGCTCTGGTGTCTGTGGAGTCTTTCTGCAGTTAAGTGCAAACAAACCAGGAACTAAATCTTCTGGGTTCTTCTGTACATGAAATATCCTTTAAACCAGGTGAGGATGCTTTTAGAGGCTCATTGAAAATAGAAGTGTTGGTATCTGTGAAAAATTCAAAGGAATATGTAATCTGTGTTTGACTTTGGGAATTTTACAAGTGTTGGAGCAGCTGCTCTCATATCCTCAAACTGTTTTCTCCCCTCTGGGAGAGATTTTTTAAGTTTGTGAGTCTAAAATAGTTGCCAGGAAGGATCATTGCAAAGAATATGAGACAGGCTCTGTCTCTTTTACTTCTCAAAGTTGTTCTTTTCCATCAGGGCACTGCAGGAGAGCTTTCTGGCAGGATCAGGGAACTCCCACAGCAGCAGCTCCAGTGAAACCTCCAGCTTTGAGAAGGACTTGCAGCTTGCCATGGAATTGTCTGTGAGGGAGCAGGAGGAACAGGAGAAGCAGCGTCGGGAAAAGGAAGATGCAGAGCTTCAGCAAGTTTTACAGCTCTCCCTTGTGGAAAAATAGCTGCTAAGTGACCTCCTGAAGCAGGGATGACCAAATCTGTGTAAAACTGGAGATTGTCAGAGCTGTCAGTCTGAAGACCACTCCCGGATTGCTTAAGGAAACGTTTTACTGCCTTCTAAGTTGACATCAGCTGCAAAAACCTGATTTAGTTTTTTTGGGGGGAGTTGTAGATCACAGGACTCCACATTTGGCTCTCCAACCATGCAGTCTTAGCTTTGAAGGAAATGTTTTTATCTAAACTTATTTATTGAAGAGCAGATGGAAATTTTGCTTTGAATCAGGATGTAGGATTGCAGTAAAGCTTGAAAACCTGATTTATGGGGAGTTCAGGAGGGAAACTTCATTACTTACCAAAGAAATACTCATCTGCTTCATTATTTCTTAATAATTCAAAGCCATTGCCTGTTTTTCCAGCTGTTTCATGGGAGAGCATCTCCCTGCCTATACACACACAGAGTAGTTCTTCATGCTGACAGATGTTTTCTGTTAGTTTTGTTTAGATATGGTTATCTCTCCTCTAGTTATTGAGATTTTTGGCTTAAGAGGGATAATTTTATACTTGAACAGCTCATCCAAGCTCCAGATTAAACTAGTGCTTTCTGAAAAAGGACAAAACAAGTAACCAGTAAAATTATAGATGCTGAAATGGGACCATCTGTCCAGTACAGCAGCAGTTTCTGCAGGGATTCCAAACCAGCTCGTTCCCCTGCTCAGAGAGCAGCAAGGAATTAAAGGATAGCTACAGGTGCTTCTTTGGGATCTCTTGGTGTGCATGGCTGAATGTGGGTGCTAAATGCAGCCAGGAAAATAATTCAGGGGAGATTTTCATGTATCCTTACTGGAAGAGAAGTTTCAATTCTGCAAGGGAAACGTGTGTTGCTTTTTAAAACCCCAGCGCTTGTCCTTCATGTGAATACATCTATTTTTTTACCTGAATATTTTTATTGATTTTAAACCAAACCACTAGGCCTACACTCATCAAACTGGTCTTGTAACGATTCCTAGGTCTGTTTTAACCAGCTTTCCTCAGGTTTTTGGCCATACAGGATCTTTATAGCTCTTTTATCTGCACTCCTCTCAGTGTTTACAATACTCACGCTGTGACTCTCAAGTGCACTCCACAGGTACACGATGAACAGCCACAGGAAAGCCTTACAGATGTTAAATGTGAGCAATATCCCTCTGCTCTGGCTGGCAGGGCTGGAGGAACCTTTGGTACAGCTGCTCTGAGCTTTCTCCTAACACTGCTCCTGTTCCTCAGGTTAAACAGGGCAGTTCTGGGTGACCAACTATTAATTAACCAACATAAAATCACTATAAAATGGACTTGATCATAACCAGTGGGGCAGTGGTAACTTGGAACTCTATTTTAAACCAATAATCCATTGTTTTACATAGGAAATTATTACAGTTCCTTCAGTGTATATTAGGATTGGCCTCTCCACACTGGTTTTATTCCCTGGCACAACTTGCATCCCTAAAAAAACAGCTTCCTGGGTGCTGCAGGAATTGGGGACTGTCCTGCACAGGGGCAATGGGCTGGATTGGAAATTCTTTCTTTGCAAAGGGGATTCCTGTGACTGTCACAGTTGGGAAAAGGGAATAGGCCTCATGCTGAGCTCCTGACAGGTGGGAGGTAGGAGATGGAGCTGTGGGCATTCCTCAGTGGAAATAAAGAGTGCTGTTGCCTTTATAAACCCGCCTGCCTGGCATTGCCTGTCTTCTGCTAAGCTTTTCAAAGGTTACAAGAGGGGTAAAAATAGCATTTTTCAAGCTGACTTGTTCTGGTTTTATATTTAAACTAAAGAACATTGAGCACTTTCAGTTGAAGTTTTGTTACACTCCTGCTTCTTAGTCTGGGACTGTAAAATAAATTAGATTAGCTTTTGGTTTTCTTTTTCTTTTTTTTTTTTTTTTCTTTCTTTGACATTTGTATCATTCCAGCTAAAACTAGGAGGCCCTGCTCCCTCAGCCACATGCTGCTTCTCTTAAAGCCTGACTGAACCTTTTCAGTGTAAGATGGACACGTTCTGTGTGCTGGAAGAAAAACCAAAGGTACTGCACACTACACCACACACGGGTTATTTTTTCTCACACTATATTTGGAGCCTTTTTCTTTTTTTTACTGATTATCTGTCTTTTTGTACATTAAAGTGACATTATCACCTGTGAAATTCTCCAAGGTAGTTTTGGCTCAGTGTGAATCAGACACAATCTCCAGAAACACTTTTTGGACATTTTCAGCCAAGTTTTGAGTCTCCCTGCCTTGAAAAGGGAGAATCAGTAGAACACAGATGTTAAGGCAGTGAAAAGCAGGAAATCCTATTAATTTCTCTGTGCACCTTCTTGTAAGAGAGGATCAGAGGGTTCTGAGTATGTTTAATATTAAGACCAAGACTTGTGTAAACAGAGTCCAACCTCTCTCTCTGAAGCAGCTTGAGGCTGATGTAGGAAAGAGAAGCTCAGAGTTACAAACACCTGTGGCTTCTTCTAAAACTATAACCAGCTTTGAAAGTTCTTTAAGTTGATGCTGTTAGTTCCTGAAAGCAAAACTGATTTTTTTTTTTTTCGTGCTTTTGCCCTCATTTCAAGGTTTTTTGCATCAGCAATTCATGATTTTCTTTATTTGGAAACCCTTCTTACATTGCTTTGGCTGAGTTTTGATTCATAGCTGAGCTGCTGGAAACTGTACAACCCTTGTAGGATGTGCTTCTGTTGTGCTGTTAAACAGCTCCTTGCTGACAAACATCCATGGACACATTCTCCCAGCACTGCCATCCCACTAAAAACAAGGCAGGAGCCACGAGGAGACCAGAGGTGGGAAATCGGGACAGCCTCACCCCTTTCCAGCCCAGTTAATAGCAAACAGCACAGCCATGAATAAATAAGAGCCTGGATTGTTTACTGAGCGTTTTATTTGTACAAAGAGGCATAGCAGGGAGTGAGGCATGAGAGCAAACAGGAATTCTGCCTGGGAATGCAGAGCTGAGGCTGGGAGCTCCACCATCCACCCCCACGAGCAGCACGGGCTGCAGGCCAGGCTTCACAGCAGTGAAGGACCGAGAAAAACCAGGAACACAGGAATCAGTGAGCAAAAGGAGGAGCAGAAAGCAATAGGGAGAGCAGTGCTGCCTTGCTGCCTCACTCTTGGATTAACAGCTCCATCTGTTCGAGGCCAGGCTCACTCTGTCATTTCTCAAAACAAAATCCCTGTTCAATGCCAGCACTCAGTGTCCTTGAAACAGAACAGAAAACACCTCAGATACAGCACGAGGGTTTGAGAACAGGTTAACAACAATTGTTCTGGAAGTTACATTTTAGAACTCTAAATAAATTACTAAGCAAAACACCCCTATGTTAAATATCAAAGTAATAATTAGTAAAATCCAGTTACTACTTATAGCAGTGCAAAACAAAATAGCAGCATTTGTATGGAAGTGGGATTCAGTGTAAACACTTGTTACTGAAACTGCATAAAATGGGTCTGGCTGGAGCTCAGACTCTTCCAGAGCATCTGCCTGGCTTGCAGACCTTTGGAGGCTCCTGTTGCCAGGAGGACACTGACCAGCACATGCTGGAATCCCTCACCTGCACCCCAGTTCCCAAGAGGTTCAGCAGGGCTGGTTTGATGGGAGGTTATTTGGGGCTTTTTAGCCAGGAGTTAAAGCAAATAACGTCGGGAATGAGAAGTCTAGCTTGGGAAAACTACAGCAGGATCAGGTCATAAATCAGTGTTTCTGCTCAGAGGCAAGAATGGCCCAGACCCTCCACCCACTGCTGGCTGGGTCACCGAGCTTTTACCTTTGGAATATTTTTGAATGGGACCTTAAAGCTCATCCTGTGCTACCCCCTGCCCTGACAGGGACACCCCCCACTACCCCAGGTGTGCTCCAAGCCCCATCCAACCCCCAGGACTCAGCGTTCAAACAAGGACCTGAATTAACCAGAAAGCAAAAAGTAGAGGTGGTGTGACTGAGCACGTGGAGCTGCTCCTCGGACAATGTCCCCAGTGTCGCCCTGTTCTTGTGCCAGCCCAGGGGATGCTCTCGAGCACTCGGTGTCGGATCAGCCTCGCCGAAATTTGCTGCGATTTGGGAGGCGGGCGGGTTTGCTGCGGACACAGCCCAGGAGCTCCAGGAGTCTGTCAGCTGAGGGAGGGGGTGATTTCCAGCACCCGGCCAGAGCGCTGCTGGAAGCCACATCACCATGGAGCCCTGTGATACAGCACGGGCAGAGATGGGCGAAAAGCCGCACTGGAATCCTCAGGGCATCCCCAGCAGCTGACGGGAGCGGCGGTGGCACGGCGGGGACCGGAGGGGAGAACCGGGCGGGACCGGAGCGGCGGTGGCACGGTGGGTACCGGAGGGAAGAACCTGCTGGGTCCGGAGCAGCGCCGGGATGGCGGGTACCAGACGGGAGACCCGGCAGGACCGAAGCGGTGCTGGGATGATGGATGCCAGGTGGGATAACCGGGTGGGATGCAGCATTCTCTCGATGCCCCGGCGGGTCCCGCTCCGCTACCGCCGCCGGACGGGCCGGTAGACACAGATGGCCATGAGGATGATGGTGAGCAGGAGAGCGCTGAGGATGCTGCCGAGCAGCACTGCGGCCAGAAGAGAAAGAACATCCATTAAACACTCCCTGACCAACTCCCGAGCCCCCGGCCGGGTCCTGGCGGGGCTATACCCGATGCCCCCCGCTCCTCACCCAGGTTCTGGTGCTGCAGCACAGCGTAGGGCCGGCTGCGCTCCGCCGGGCCCGGGGACAGCGGGGACAGCGCCCAGCCCCGCGCCGCCGCCAGCCCCATCGCGCCGCGACACGCCACGGACCCCGCGGGCCCCGGGCTTTGTGCGCCGCGCTCGGCTCTGCCCCTTCCTGCCGCCCGCCCCGCCCCGGGACCGGCCTTCCGGGGCAGCGGGGCGGTGGGAGACACCGGCACCGGCACCGGCACCGGCCCCGGCCCCGGCACCGGCACCGGCACCGGCACCGGCACCGGCACCGGCACCGGGAGCGCCCCGCGCCCGCCCGGAGCGGACCCGCGCGTCCACCCCGCGCGTCGCTGCACCCCCCGTGGGCATCTTCGTCCCCCCAGCCCCCGCTGTCCCCAACGTGGGTTCTTTTGGGTGTTTTATGGGCCCCAAAGCCCGAGGAACGGTGATGATGCTCTGGGAGCTCCGGCAGGTTCACACCGGCCTCTCCCCGAGCCGAGATTTGGTTTGAAAATAAGGTGTATTAGGGTCTGTCCCTCTTCAGATGCCTATTCCCTGGATCCGCCGGGATGGGGCGGCAGGAGGCACCGACCTGCCCGGCTTCGGCAGCGCCTGGGACCCACCCCCAGCTCGGGCGATTCCTCCGCCGGATTTTGGATCTTTGTGGCTCCCCGTGTCCCCCAGCCCGAGCGCTGAAACACGCACGGCGCTCCATGAACACAGCACGGCGAGCTCCGGCTCCTCTCCCTCCCCTCATCTCCGAGCATCGGCATCAGCTTTATTTCCCAAACACTCCCGGCACAGCCACAGACACGCACGGGGAGCCGCGAGCAAATTCCTCCGTCTGCTCCGGGAGCTGGGATGCTCCTCCAAGCCCGGCTGCCAGCCCAGGGGCCGCGGCGGTGCTCCCGTTCTCCCTGCTGGTTCCCCTGCCAGCAGCGAGAACGGGCTCTGCCGCCGGTGCCGCTTCCACCGGGATGCTCGGGGAGATGCCAGGTGCGGAGGGCGATGGCAGCTGCCCCATCGCTGTGCCAAGGAGGGATCCCGAGCACTCTCCGTGTCCCCCGGCCGTGCCACCGCGCTACAGGACGGGGGCCATGCCCACCCCCTCTGCCTGGGGGGCTCGCATGAGCTTCTCGGGCCGAATGCAGACGGCGAGGCGCTGGTTGAGAGACGGAACACAGAGCGTTTCCTTCCTGCTTCCCAGGGCAGCTCTCCCGGCGGAATTTCACTGCCGCTCCAAGATGCTGAGGATCCCGCCCGGCTCCCAGCCTCGGGCTGACCCGAGTGGGCTCCCTGCCCACTCCAGCCCACCCAGGAGCCGTGGGACCGTCAGTCCTGCTCCTGACCTGCTTGAGGGACCCCGGTGTCCAGACGAGCTTGTACACCATGTAGAGGGGGATGCAGATGAAGGACGATGCTCCGATGAGGAATCCCACTGAGGTGCTCCACTCGGGGTACTGGTACTCAAAGAGGGTCAGGGGTGGCTGGTCCAGGAGGGAGCTGATGACTATCAACTGTAACGAGCAGAGCCACAGGGGCCTCCAGTCCTGTGAGCAGTCGGGGCTCCTCACACCAAAACAGATCTGGAGCGTGTCCAGAGAATGGAACAGAGCTGGGGAAGGGTCTGGAGCACCAGGAGCAGCTGAGGGAGCTCAGCCTGGAGAAAAGGAGGCTAAGGAAGGATTTTCTATCTCCCCACAACTCCCTGATAGGAGGATGCAGCCAGGTGGGGGTTGGGCTCTGCTTCCAGGGAACAAGAGACAGAACCAGAGGAAATGGCCTCAAGTTGTGCCAGGTTACATTGGACATCAGGGAAAATTTCCTCACCAAAAGGACTGTCCTGCCCTGGCACAGCTGCTCAGGGCAGTGGTGGAGTCCCCATCCCTGGAGGGCTTTAACAGATGTGTGGATGTGGGCCTTGTGATGGCCTTGGCAGTGCTGGGTAATGCTTGAACTCTTTAATCTTTTCCAACCTAAATAATTCCCGGATGTCCCCAGCCCTGGCACTGATGGCAGCTCACCCCATAGGTTATGAGGATGCAGGGATGGAACGAGATGATATTTTAGGTCCCTTCCCACCCAAATCATTCTGTGATTCCATGATTCTATGAGCACCCTCCACATCCTGCTGCTCCCCCATCATCCCAAATCCCAGCCAGCAGCCAGCATGGACATCACAGGGACATCTCCCTGGCTGGGTGAGGGCTGGGGGCCTCCGTCTAACAAGCCCCGTGAGCCGGTGGCCTGCGAGGGCTGCTCAGCCCCGTGCTGAAACAAAACCATTTGCTGTGTGCTTTGATGATAATACTCCTCTCTTAATAACCAGGGCAAAGTGCTTAGAGCCATAATTAATCCTCACAAGTTCTCTTCTCCTGCAGATCCGGTGAGATGAGACCCCTCTGCCGATGGCAGCCTTTGAAGTGCCGTGGGAGCTGGCATTTCAAAGGGACAGATCCAGCCCAGCACACGGGAGATGGACCCGTGGCTGGCCCTGCCAGGGATGCTGCAGGATGAGACAAAGCTGAGCTTGCACCTGTGTGAGCACCCAGCTTTGCCCTGGAGCTGTGGAAAAGGCTGGGAAATGAACTTCCAGCTCCCTTTCTCGGGGAGGTCCTGGGGCTGTGGGCACTGTGGCAGGAGCAGCAGCACGGGGAGGGCTGCAATGAGGTCCCACAGCCCTGTCCACTCTCCTGGCAGCTTGGTCACCTCGTGTGGGTGAGAGGGGAGTTATCCATGGCACGGGGAGCTGGGCAGCACAGGGGAGGGGCTGTCCTGCAGGGTGTGCAGAGGGACAGCGATGACCTCGTCTGTAATTTGGCCACGGATACTCACCGCCAGCAAGGCTGGGCTGATGGCAACCCAGCACAGCTTCCAGAAGAGCCCCGGGGTGAAGCCCAGCATGGCTTTGACATCGTGGGAGAACCTCTGGATCCCTGCCAGAGGAGAGAGCCCTCACAACCCCAGCATCCCGCTGGGGACGTGGGGTCAGGGACATCCACACGGACACAACGCCCTCCGTTCCCATGCCAGCCTGGCCAGGAGCCACACGCAGGATCCTGCCCTGGATTTACCCACCTGTGCAGGGCCACACTCCTGTGTAGGTGCCTTTTCCACGACAGAGGCAGTTTCTTACCATAGAACCAGGAGACAGCGATGGTTTCCAGCAGCACCACGGCCAGGATGGAGCAGCCAGCACCGAACTCCTCCAGCAGCTTCACCACGTAGGCTCCCCCCTGGAGCAGCAGGAGGAGGGGGAGGCTGCAGACCCCACGGGGTGAAGGAGGGGATGGGGCCCAGGGCAGGGTGGTGCCAGTGGAACTCACGTAGGTGAGGGTGCTGAGGGAGCCCAGGAAACAGACTGTGATGAGGCCGAGCACGAAGAGCTCCCGTCGCCCTGCCAGGACCTGGGGGTACTCGTCCATCACGGCCGTGATCACGGCCTCCAAGCCTCCAAACTGCAAAGGAAATGCTGGTGTGGGGTGGGGGAATGGGATGTGGGGACAGCCCTGCTCTCCAAGTAATTCTGTATGGTAGAGCAGGGACATCCCATCCCATCCCATCCCATCCCATCCCATCCCATCCCATCCCATCCCATCCCATCCCATCCCATCCCATGCCCATGCCCATGCTCATGCCCATGCCCATAACTCGCCTTGCCACCTGTCACCCTGTTCTTTTAAAAGTTTTAAAGTTCTTTTCAAAGTTTTCTATACCTTCTGATGTTTACATTTTTCTACTGGAGTTCTCACACACTGTTTATGTAAATAATGATTGTTTTCCATTCTTTGTGAGAAGAGAGAATTGATAGACTATTAGTTTAACCAGTGTAGTTGTAGATGGCAATTTCATCCTCCAATCCACTCTCACTTTTAGAATTTTATATATTGCGAGGTCAGAAATAAAACTTCTTCTTTTTCTTTTTTCTTTCTCTTCTTTTTTTAACAGAAACAGAGTGACAGTCACCCCACTATCAGCCGTGGGACATGGCCACCCCCGGTCCCTGCTGGGGACACAGCTGGACTGTCCCCTCCTACCGTGCTGTCCAGCCCCAGGGTGATCATCATCAGGAAGAAAATGATGGCGAAGAAGGTGGATCCCACCATGTTGGCAATTGCTTCAGGGTAGGTGATGAAGAGGAGGCTGGGCCCTAGGAGGGGACACTGCCTTGGTTGGCTGTTCCCTGGCACAGCCCTGCGGGTGGGAATCCGCCTGGGGAAGAGGCTGCTGGAGGGAGGAGAACCTTTATCTCTGGCAACGTCCTCCACCTCCACGTCCCTCATCTCGGCCATGTAGCCCAGCACGGTGAAGATGACAAAGCCTGAGAGGAAGCTGGTGAGGCAGTTCACAGCACTGGTGACCAGAGCATCCCTGGGAGGCAGAAAGGAGGGAGAGACCCCACTGCAGCTCAGCCCTCACCCCGCTCCAGCTGCCCTGGCCTTCCCCCACTCCCATTCCCTCTCCTGGCCCCTCACACCAGAACCATCAGTGAAAAGGGGAAAGATGCCCAGCCTGCAGCCACAGGGACCAGGAGCTGCTGGGATGTGTCACTGGGGACCAGGAGCTGCTGGCATGTGGCACTGGGGACCAGGAGCTGCTGGCATGTGGCAGTGGGGACCAGAAGGTGCCTCCACTGCAGCTGTGCCCACTGGGATGGACCCTCACCGGTAGCAGTTGTTGTGGAAATGGTTGTAACTGGCCAGAGCAAGGAGGACTCCAAATCCAGGGCCCAAGGAGAAGAAAATCTGTGCAGCAGCATCCACCCAAACCTGGAGGGAGAAACAACAGGAGGATGGGCAGGGCAGGAGGTCCTTGGGGCTGGGATGGAGCTGGGAGGTGCCCCACAGTACCAAGGGCATGGACACCCCATGGCACAGGGGTGGGGCTGTGCTGGCACAAATGTCCAGACACCTTTCCTGGACATCTTTCCTTTTCCATCTCCTTTTCCAGGAGATGTCCTGAGGGCTGAGGAGCTGCTGTGGCATGGAGTGAGCTCGTTCCCACCCTGGGGTCCTGCAGCAGCAGTGCCACCCGTGCTCGCCCACGCTCGGAGCAGGGATGGATGGAGGGGAGCCCCCGAGCCTGCCGTGCCCACTCCTGCCTGGCACATTCAGTGCTGGCAGCACAGCCCTCATTACCTTTAATGAGAATTCTCAAGTGCTGCCTGGTAATTACCCACAGGAAGCCCACTGTCAGCCCAGGGGGGAGCACAGCACAAACAAAACCAAGCCAGAATGAGATGGGTGATTCAATTATGGATTTACATTTCCAAGAGCCTGTCCAGGGCACCTTGTTTCTGTGGGAACAAGGGCCCCATTGCCCTGTGGTGGGGCCAGACCCATGGGCAGGGCTGGCTGGGTGTCCTGGAC